AAACCTTAGCGAACAAAAGTCGCATTCTAGTGAGATTTCAGATGCTCTCTCATTCCGGAATTTTTGGAATTATAACTTTTGGCAACTTGAGTATTTGAAAAACTCAAGCTTTTTTTGGCTATCTACCATAAAGCTCTGGCACTTCTTCCAGTTACATTTCGTTATGTTCTAGAAATAGCAAACCGACAAAGCAGATCCTCTTAACGGAGGCTTCATTCTCATTTTTTAAATAATCCAACATATTGGTAACCTTGGTTCTTCACCTATTGACCGACACAGCTTGCCCGCCGAACGTCTTGTAAGGGAACTTTTCAAGAAAACCGCTGAACAATTATTCCTTAACTAGGAGACCCTGCCAGAGGTGATGTTACTACTACACTGTTAAGCATTTCCAACTTCAGTGGATATAGTGACGGACAACCTATGATAGCTGGCATCGAAGCCTATATGAGAGAAGTAAATGGTACATTACCATTTAGGAACCACAGGCGTGATAAGAACTCGATTGGAAGAATATAAATAAATTACTAAAATAAGTCCTTTTTGTCTTTCCATATGGACATCCTTCCAAAAGATTGTTGGTTAACATAAGGCTGCGCAGATGACAACGATTAGGACAATAAGCTAAAATAAAAATAAAAACATAGGAAACCGATGAAATGTGTAAAGTATCCGCAGTTATGCTACACGTGTCTATGAGTGAGTTTTATATATGATATCTGTTGGTGCAGCAACTTCTGTATGAAACACGATGTAATATTTCATGTACAATGGAGGTGGTTTGTAACGTATGTATATCATACTGTACTATTTATCATTACATGTCATATCATACATTATAGTATATAATACAATAATATTTAAATACACCCGTGGCCTCGGTGGGAGTCGTATCCACACAGACAAGGTGTTTGCGCAGCCAACGCTCCAACTTTGAGCTACGAGGCTCGCCGTGCGGAGGGAACTTAATTATACCTGGATACATCTTACCCATGTGTATGGAATCAACCATTAGATATACTGCTGGCTGATGGCAGGATTTCCTAAGCAACAATATTACATCTAACTGATGGACTACTAGGGTTAATCAATTGTAGAAGAATTTGGCAGAATTGTTTAATTTAGTTGACCAAATTGACAGACCGCGAGTTTCTCAAAATTGGGTCAACTAAAATTATATAATTATTATATAATATAAATTTAAATATACTATATATATATCTGTCAAACCCCTAGCAGTTATCGTGAGCCTACTAGTCATCATAGTGGATTCTAGATTATTGCTTTGGAAATCTTGCTGGGGTATTCTGCTTGCTGTTCCGTATTGGTGGATTCCATTCACTCAGTAAGTTGGGTGGGTAAAATCGCTCCATAAGTGATTAAATTCCAGGCAAACCGTTAGTCTTGTAGCGCAATGCTAGAACGTTCCCTGCGCAAACGTCTTTCCTTCTGGGGGTACGAATATCACAGAGGCCGCTAGTTTTTCACAATTGGGCCAATTGAAATTATTTAAAATCTATCAAAACCCAAACATACCATTATAGTAGATATTAATGCATGCTTTTAATTTATCTCAATAATCCTACCGGAGGAACTATAAACGAGACAGGTGCAACGGCGAGAGAGGGTTCGCTGAGATTAACGTAAAATATGATCTTTTCCACACAACCCGGTACGAGAGGCTTCATTGCGGCTGCAGTCGTGTACTTGCAGGATTCTACTGCCTCCTGGTTATCCACAGAGCAACACGGGGCCGGCATTCTAGTACAACCTGCAAACAAATATGAGACAAATGCACCTTTTACTGTAGAGAAAAGTTTGCGCTAAGGAAACCTGTCCGGCAACTTTGTATTTTTACTGACTTTTTTTAACTGGCTTCCAGCCGCTTCCTACCTTTAAAGTCCTTATATCCCGCAAGTCCACAACAGTAGTGACTTCCTTCCTATAGGTAAGTAAACAAAGGAGAAGGAAAATAATAAGAAGATTAAGAAAAAGAACAAAGTTACTAGACGTTAGATCATAAGCAAAATCAGGATCATTTATTAGATCTCGTCTAGCTTCTCGCCTAATAATGCATTCATTGTTTTATTTAGCTTTGGTTGGCCTTGGTTTACCAACGCCAATTGAGTTGACATAAGCTACCCCCCAATTAAACTGTCCCGCGTTTAAATATAATCATGACGGAGGTGATACATTTTTTAACTTTGTGCATAAGTTTACTCCTTATGCTGGCATTTGTAACGATAGAGTTAATGTAATTGCACCTACTTTTAGTATAACAGGATACAAAGGGATAAATATAGTCTGCAAGCTGTCTCCACTATTGAACTATACTCAGAAACAAGGCACTTTTATATCGAAGACCAAGCAAAATGAAGTTTTCAGCTGCAAAAGTTGGCCTTGGTGACTTTGGTTTTCATGCATGACTCTTGTCCCCAGGACATGTAAAGTTATCCGTCAAAGAAAAAGCAACCCTTGAAGAATAATAACCCAGTTAACCATGAACAACAACATAATGCTTACAATAAAACTAGATAAGTAACATTTACTCTCCCTAAAGTTGCTACTTTAAACAACCTGACATAAAAATATTTCCTTTACTGCAATATAAACTTGCGGTTTTAATTACGTTTATAATTACAGTCATTATGTAGAAAGGGTAGGCGGTCTTCTTCTGGTACATCACACAACATTTTGAAAGATAGTATTGCACGTAATGGTACTTGTTGCTTTTTTAAAATTCTTCTTTGGTGTTGCTTATTGCACTCCAAAATGTTCGCTCGTTTTTCGTCGCGACTAGATATTTTCTTAACCGGTCTGAAGACCAGACTGCGTTTCTTTGTAAAATGGACATTTTAATCGTCCTCATGTCAGGGTCGGCATGGTAAGTAATGTGTTTTTTGGCATAACATTGCATGTGCTGAGCCAAATTGTCGCATCCCAGGTTTGCGTAAAGAAGCCGGCTTGAATTAGGAGTGATAAATTATTAAAAATGACTGTGCCTGCCTACGAACCGGGCCGGGAGTTTAACTCAGTAGCCTCAATTATTATTGCCCACGGCAGCAGACGATTATTAATTGAAGCCTAGGCCTCCGATGATTACTCAGCCAATCGATTTATCGATTATGTGCGCCAGCATGCCTCAACCTGCGCAGTCATAACACCATGCGCCCTATACCTGTTGCTTGTTGTTTGTCACAACGTTTACCCCTGACGATGAACTACCAGAGAATTCGAAAGCTCAGTCGAAAAGAACCGTCATCAACGTACTCTCGAAATGTGTAAATAAATAAAACAGTGGTGGAATAGGCAGACCGCAACTTACCCTCATCACAGTACTCCAGGTGGCGACAGCCAGCTGATTTTTATCATGGTAGTTATTTTTATACGTTTCCAGATTTTCACTCATGTACAAAAGGGCCTTGTCCGACAGCTAGGAAAGAAATCAAATAGTTAAAAAGTAAGATCATGGTTCAGTTCGTAAAGATATGTGTTCGTTTTATATATAATATGCTAAAAGTACCATCCTTTTAAGAGTACTTACATAATTTTGCTTTCCAAACGTGATGGCAGTGGCTATGATCAGTCCAAGGATAAGAATACCTAGTAGGAATGCATACTAGTACAAAGAGGAAAGAGAACAACGTATAATAATGGGTTTGCGACGCCGGTATCAAGGTATTTTAAATAGAACCACGAAAACCCACACCGCACATATGTATGCAGCAGGGGACAAGTGTTATTTGAGTTTCTGTGGGTGGGGAGGTAAGGATGACAATAGCAAATCCAAAACAGACTACGTTTAACGGCTCTACTTACAATTTTCAGAGCTTTCTTATTACCAAAACATGAGACAATCACTCCAATCGCGAAGACAATCATGAGGACGACACCAATGGCGATAATTTCGGCTGAACAAAAAGAAAGCAAACACAGTCAAGCTGATGGGAAATTGTTTAATTTAAATTTGGTCGAACTGGACGCTCAGGTGTGGTCACTTACGATTACTGACTACGAGGACGCCAATTATAAGTTCCACGGTAACTGTCGGGGCATTGGGAAGGAACATTGCAATGAACATGCGTACAATGCCGGAGGTGGGTCCAAATTTTAGGTTCGTTCCAAGCGCCAGGATGAAGGCAGCTTCCAACTGAAAAACAGTGAAGGGGAAAGGCAATTTTATGCAATGCCCTGACCTCGAAGTTGGACATCGTAGTTTAGCATGCACTTGCCATGTTAACCACAAATGCAGTTACACATTAACGTAACTAAATGCTTGTTTTGAATTTAGAGCCATTAGGCAGTTAATTTTTCGTGTGCAGAGCAAATTCCGTTAAAGCGTAGAGCAGAAAGGGAACAGAAAGCAGATTGACTCTTGTTGCAAACTATTCGACAAACAGTTATACTTTTGCACTCGCCATCTTAGGTGAACGGATTTGCGAAAACTAAGAAATAAGCATAAGCAGCATTATTCGTATTAAGCACCGAAAAGTACTATATGTTCTAAGGTTTTTTTATGAATAATAAAATTGTCTTGATGATATCCCAGGTTCGGAGACGTAAGGAATAACTATAAATTATAACAATAAAATTTAATCTTTTCCTAAATTAAAAGCGGAATGTAACCAATTTCTTTATATTAAAATAACTCTTGAATAATCAAAATATTTTTTACGCATCACCATTAGTG